TGAAAAAACAGTATTAAAACTAAAAACTTACGGATTGATATTATTGGAAGTGTTACACCAAGGACAGACAATAGTAAAATTGCTTTTATCATTTGCATCGAGAACCCAGGGAGTGCCTGTAAACTCTTCCCAAATTTTCTGAGATTCTTTGTCAACAAAGTCAGATCCATGATTCCATATATTATTCTAATCAATATAAGCAATTATATATATATTGTCAAAAAAAATAAATGATTGACACAACATTCATTCGTTTACAAACCAATTTCTGTAGTGGAAAATTGTGTTCTAATAAGGTAGGATGAAGTCGTAACATATCTTCATAATATCTAAATGGGGAGAGACAGTGTGCATGCCAGATATAACAGACATCTAGAAAAAAAAATTATGTAAGTTTGAACCGAAAATACTAAACTTATTTATATTCTGATAAATTATTACCGATAGGGGGAACGGGAATAAAATCCTTTTCACATTTTGCGCTGTATTTTTCCAAAAGCTGCAACCAGAGAATATACCTTTCCTGAGCACGTAGGAGGTAGCACATGTCAATTGAATGAACATTCTGTTCCAAAGCTTTAAATTTGATAAGTAGACTGAGATGTGCATTCAATGTTTCTGGATTCACGACGCCATCAATATTGAGAGCATTTGGTATTTTGTGAATGGGCGTAGTTATTGGTGAATTGGATGACTTATCGCTGTAGGCCAACAAGCTAGACATAGTTTTTTACATTATCTTGTTACGTTATAAGTACCGATGACCCGCTTATATATAAATTTTGTCTGAAATTATCTAGCCAAATTGATGGTTATTCGTTAATATTTCAGAAGTAAAAAAAAAAACTTTATAAGGCATATCTTTGAGGCACAACCATTGTCATTATCACTTGAGTTCCATATAAATCTGCATCATTGATAATTGCTTATGATTTTCGATCAGTGTTGGCAAATGGCAATCTCATAATGGCATAGGATCGTATAATTCATATGCCATATGATATAAAATCAAGTCATATTATTATTACATGACATATCATATGATAAGTAATATAACAATTCATAGAAGTCATATGATTCATACGACATCATTGTCCAACACTGTTTTCGCTAGACTTTACTATAATTAAGTAGCTACGCGACATTGTCGCGCAAAACCAGGAATGGGTGTTTATTTTGAGTAGTATTTAGAGCTTTTTACAAATCAACTTTATTATTAAGTTTATAGTAATACATAAAAATATATGTTAAAATCTGTTGGAATATAAAATATTCATTAGTTTAAAAGTAGTTTGCTATTTATCCCAACTGGTGATCATCACCAGTGTAAATTAACCATTTAATCAATTAATTTGCAAGACAGATATAACATATAGCATTAGGGTATAACATATCATGATTATTGTCGGATAATTTTTACAAAATGTATATTAATTTTGCATTTTATCGTATAAAACTATATAAAAATATTTATATCTACCTTCATTTTTAATTTCTATGATTTTGTTCCTATGATATTGTTATTATAAATAAAAGATCGAATTATAAATAAATAATACAGTAGTTTAATAAGTCTGTACACCTAATTTTATATTATATTAATTTATATTTATTATAATAGAATGGGCGTTCATAAACCAAAATTTGTGTACCATCAAAAACACATTTAATGGATTTGCAAATTGCTAGACATAGTTTTGTTTTAATTATAATGTGGTACGTACACCCTAATATAACATGTACGTACATCAATTTGGTATAACAAAAACAAAGAATTTTAAAAAATCGATTATATCAAAAAAGTTTTTTTTATTTATTGCCACTGGTGATCAGAGCACAAAATTCTACTGTAAAATACCGGAGCTCCGGTAAATCATGAAAAAATTCCGGCACAATTTTTTGATAATCGGAAATTTTCCGTTTGGTCAAAATTTTAACACATTCTTACATCATGACTATCGTTACTACCTCCGGCTATAGATTCTAAATTCCGTTTAATAAAAAGATCACCGGAAAAATATCAGGACACGTCATGCCACAATTTTGTGCACTGCTGGTGATTACCACAAGATCAGGTGTAATGCGTAAACTAGGCCTGCCTTTTCTTCTTTATTATTGCGGTTTGAAATTTGTATTTACACGCAACAAGACTTTAACTTCAAAGATCCTCAAATGGCTTTTTAAGATCCCGGAATAGGTAAAACTTTTACTAGTAGCAATGCCAAAGATTTGTTTTTTAGTATAAGATTTAAAGTACTATTTACTTTTACAAAACTTCTACCTTTTGTTCTTTAATGCAGTGGTTTGAAACTTTGTACTTATTCTTAATAAATCTTAGTTTATAGGTTCCAACTTAGTTTTTCAAGATTTTTTAAGATAGCCAAAACTTTTGCTAGTAGCAATGTTGAAGATTTGCTACGTAGAACTTAGAACGCTGTAATATATACTGTAGTTGGGACGATTTTTGAAAAATATTCTTAACCTGAGAAACTATAGCAAGTATTAAATATTAGAAATGGTTAATCAAAGATGTAAAGGAAGATTAAAATATTTAGTGTAAATTAAAAAAATGTTTTTTAAAAAAGCTTCATAAGCATTCTATAATATTTTGCACTATATAGAAGCGTTAAATAGATATAATATGTTTGGATTAAACAATAAATAAACATGAGTGAAGTTGTTTAATTCTAATCTGTAGAAATCAAGTATATAGTAATAATATGTTGTAAAGATTCGTTAATATTACTTGAATATTAAATTTTTTAATCTTCGTGATTTGTGTTTTTACAATTTTATTGGTTTATCTATTTTAGGCATCACGAACATCACATGCAAATTCAGGTGACATATTTGAACTGAAAAGCTTGTCAACAAAGTGACAGAGCGTTCATTATTGCGAAATCAGATGACTTTATAGATCACATGTTCGATTTGTCATTATGCACGCTTAAATAAAACCTGCTGAATATTTATTTATTAAAGATTCTCAATTTTAATATATCATTTTTTCCATATATGTGTATGTGGTGTAATTATTCGTGCGTATGTTGATTGGATTGTGTCGACTTTGTGCTGTAAGTGGTTTAGATTGTACAACTTTTTTGTAGTTTGTGACGTCTTTCTGCAGAAGATTTTCGGACAAAATTTCCTCCTAATTCCAGGAAAGGAAATTTTCATCCGTCATTTTTGTAATACTTATGGATTCATAATAGCGAGTACAAGTACAAGTGAAAGTACAAGTGAAGATACAAGTGAAGGTACAAGTGAAAGTACAAGAAGAATTATTTGCTTTCGTTTTAAAAAAAAAAAAAAATCACGATCCAATGCAAACAGTAATGAAAGGGCTTCACGTTTACCATTTTTTTGGCCTTTGTCTAGATTCAAAGGTGTGTTTTGGCAGTTTTTTTTTTTTTTTTGCCGGATTTTTTACAGGGCAGATAAATTGATAATCATTGATCGTCAAAGACCAGATAAATGTTCGTTCGCAGCGAAGATTTTGCTGACCTTTTTTGTTAAGTTTGACTTTTGTCGTCATCATTATTATTATTATTAATTAATTAAAAAAAAAAATAAAAATAAAAAATTGAGAAACCTTGAGTTCCTACTTGAAAACTGGTAAAACCTGCTGTGTCGATCTCAATCCCATACGATGATTATACCAAATTTGCATTTTTTTTGTCTACATACTTCAATACTTGTATTTATTTATGTTTAAAGATTCTCGATTTTACTATATCATTTTTTCCGTGTATGTGCATATGATGTAATTATTATTTATCTATTATAATTATAAAAAAAAATTATAATTGGATATAAACACTGAAATACTTCATGACCCGCGAAGATAATCCAATCGATATCTAAATCTGGTATATAAATAAATTAAATTAATTAGATAAACGATTTTGGCCTTGTGACTATTTTATTTGCGTATTTCGAAGATTACATCCTTTTAAAGATGATTTTTTCCTGTCCTAAAAAAATAATTTCTGTAATAAAACCATCTTCACGCCATATAATATGGACTGCCGTCAATAGAAATCAAGGAGATTGACGTTCTAAAAAAAAAATCAATATCATAGCTTTTATAGCTCATATCTTTAAAGTAAACTTTATAAACTAATGTTGAAAAGATATTCTAGATACTGTTTCGTTAGAAGTTTCACTAAGATATAAACTGTAAAAAGCTAAGATATTAATTTTTTTTAAGACGTCAATCCCCTTGATTTCTATTGACGGCAACCCATACATCGGCTAATTTTATGACAAAAATTAGACTTGAAATAACGCGTATGGGCGTATTCGAATAACGCGCAAATGATCAAAATAACATGTATATGCTCATTATATGCTCATTACTCAAACTTTTTGAAAAGACTAAAAAAACATGATTTCAAAGAAAGCTTCCTGATTAAATAATCAAAGATATTATATTCCCATACCGATATTAAATCGTGAATTGTATGAATTGATATTTTTTTCGTATTTTTTTCCTCGTTCATTTTTTCTTCGATTCCCTCAAAACAAAACAAAATCAAAAAAATGCCTGCTTCCGTAACCGTATTATGTTATGTGACGAGTTACCAAAAAAAATTAGTTCCTAATAAAAGTCTTTCGATTGTCGAAGCTTCGGGTATTGTAAGATCCCGAAGTCTAGACTTTCCTTTGAACGTTATTTTAACTGGATTTTATCACCATGATACTATTCAAGAATTAAATTTACCTGAATTTGAAGATAAGGATGTAGTGCTTGCTACTGGAAATTTTCGTATCGTTGAAGGCACCGGCCAAAATGATGAAAAATATTCTATTTTAAAAGTATAAATTACTATCGTTATGAATATAAAAAATTTAATCGAATAAATGAACTGTTGTCGATAGAAATCAAACAAATTATATTTTAAAAAAATCTAACTTTCGTAACTCATATCTCGATGAATTCTAAGCTATTTTAATAATTCGATATTCAAAAAAAAAAGAAGCTTGGAAACTAAACTTTATTTTGAATATTAATAAATCATCGAACTAGCGTCAAAATCCATCGAGATATCGACTACGAAAGTTAAATATTTTTTAAAATGTAATCTGCCTAATTTTTATTAACAATGGTTTAGGTTAATTTTTTTTTTTTTCTTTCAACAAAAAAGATTACCTTGAACGATGTTGTTCGTTTTGATACCCTTGATCCTAACGATTTACCTGCGTTCCCGATATTAATTAACATGACGGCATTGGTTCAAGAAGACCCGGAAATCGATAACGAAGATGTAGTCATTAATGTTTTAACTAAAAATTACGTCGACCAAGGTTATAATAATCTTAAATTAACGTGCTATCATCCTACTTCTGCGCAATATTTGACGAATACGACAGCCGTTATAAAGAAAGATTCTGTAATCTATGTTAACGGGGAACTCATGATTACTGATGATGATAACATAGTTCATATACGAAATGTTTCGTTTCCGGAATACCAAAAATTAAATACGATTACAAAAAGCAGCCCAATGCAATTTTCATGGGAATCGAAAGATCAGAATAATACAAATCAGCAAAATGCCTCCACCGTTGCTCAAACTATAGCCACAAGAGTTAAAGGAAGCACCCGACGTAAAAAAACCACACCTAACCCTAAACCATATCTTAAAACCAATTCTCGCCCAAAAGTTACTGATTTGGCGAATGACCTCTTAAATAAACCTTCGAATTCAAACACACCTAATCAAACTGTTACCGAATAGATAAGTATATTATTATTTACGCACGTGTCAGTATATACTTAACTTAAGATCATTCATCTTATTTTTTTTTTTTTTCTTCTGTAAATAACAATTAATATTCAATACTTTTAAATACTATAAATATTCATATCAGTGTTTTTTTCTTCAAACAGTTTTTAACACATTATATATACTTATCTGACATGTATTTACATTTATCTACGTATAATATATATTTACGTTTATATAAATAACGAATAAATTTTCGTATATCTAAGATTATAAACATAACAATCTTTTAACATTTAACCGGGCCATAATAAAATTTAGGGGAATTTACAAATAAGGGCCCGGAAAGTGAAAATAATTACAAATACGGGCCCAAATTAAAAATAATTACATATAAGGGCCTAATTTTTTAAAAATATTACATATAAGGGCCCAAA